GGAGCTTGAATATTGTCCTTGAATCATATGTTCCTAGATCACGATTCCTCCCTATATTTTGCCCATTGTGATGTTTCAACTCTATACTATAATGTGACGACGTCTTGAGGCAAGAACTTAGTACCATACATGTTATTATTAGATTTTGGATATGCTTCAGAAGTATGGATGTGTTCTATAGGATGTAAATGTAATTTAAACGTATTCGTATCTGGCCTCCAAATGTGTCATTTGTACAAGCACCGCCCACTTGGCTTGCAAATCTGCTTGGAGGATCGTATTAACAATTGTCAAATTCAAACTAAATGATATTGGCTGTGGAATAAGTTTTATATTTGACGGAAATTGTATTTTTGAATGAATGGTCCATCTTTTCAGTTCTCATCAGCTCAACTTGCATGCATTTTGCCATTTCCCACATTATACCATCCTTCACCTATTTCCACCTAAGCCAAGGCATCGAGTGCTTTGTTAGCATTTGCACTTGGCCCTGTCGTATCTTTTAACTAAGTATACCACTCTTTGTGTCCACAACCTTGGACTTTCTTTGTTCAACAGGCCTTGTTCCGCAGGGCCTACCCTTTCTTCTCCTGATAGCTTGTAGTAATAAACTCGAGAACTTATTCAATTGTTGTTAATTACGTGGTCATAAGGTTTTCTCTTCAGTATAGTTCTTCTGACTTTTGACATGGCAATGATGCTAGGTTATGCGTCTTTGGTCATTGGAAAGCTATAAATGTGTGGGAGAATATCCCATTCCAGACAAGGTTCCTTTGGTTGACTTTGATTTTGATGAAAGCAAGGTAATTCAAACTTATTACTTTTTCATTCAAACGAGACTCAACTTAAATGCTATCATGTTACAGACCACATATTGATCTGAAGCTTAATCTGGATATATCATTGACTTACCGTTCAGATTGTGAAGCAAGACTGTGACTTCTGTTGTTTTCTGGACATCTTGATAAAGGATTGCAATGCCATGCACGCATCTTAGTTTAACAGATCAACCTAGGAGTGAAAATGTAGCATTAACATCAATTTATATGACAGAGCATACAAGGGCTTTTGAAATATGCTATTGAGCTTATTGCATTCTTCAAGCTTACTTGGAAATGTAAATAACATGAATGCTGTTCAACTCCTTTCATCCAGTTTAGAGACTGGTATGGATGATTCGTTGTGATAATATTGTTGGATCTTTAACCTTGAGTGTGAGTAGCTACCTTATTTAATAGTCCTTAGTCAAAGCATGTTGCTTTCAATAATTAACGGAATTTCAGACATGACTGACTTAGTTTTCTGTAGATTGTAGGTTTGGTTGGCACTCGTATATGCATATGGAGGAGGAATGCGATGAGAAGCATATTTCCCTCGCGTGAGGGCACCTTTCCGAAGGGTTTATGCATGCGGTATGCAGAGAAAATACTCTCATTATTTTTAGTTTTATTTTGTAAGTGCTAGAATGCACTACTTCATGAGCAGCAATATACATGGTAAAGACCAATAACATAAAATTGGAGATTTATTATTTGATTTCCTTCACCAATTGGTTGGGCGGGGGATTGTCTGAATATTTTACATTTTGAGCTTCTATCAATGGTTGTTCTGAAAGTTTCTTGTTTTGATTGATTATATCTTATTTATTTGTTTACTAATATTGCCGTTACTATTGCTTTTGGACTTTAAAAAACTCCTTTGTTGCTGAAGGCCCTTCAATTTTTTTTTTTTTTTTTTTTTTTTACGGTTGTCTTTACTTGATCATTTCTGTTTTGGAATAGAATGCTAGATATGTATGGAGGTTTACTTTTGGTGGATTTCACATTCTGTTCTGATTGTAGTTACTGCGATCCTGAGGCTGTGGTTGGATGCGAGGATGGGACAGCTCGTGTGTTTGACATGTATAGTAAACAATGTTCTCAAATCATTAGGTATGTACTACAAAGAATGTAGCTTCTAGATTGGTGTTTGTATTTGTTTTCATTTTTCTTCTGAAGAATACAGTGAATTTATACAGCTTAAGTAGATACCTTTTGACTTGTAGACGTAAAACGAAAAATAGGAAGTATGAGTTAGAATTTAGAATAATTTCCCCTCTGGCATAGAATGTTCAGTATTTGCTGTAATATGAATTTATATGCTGCTCAATGGTTTATGGATTTTCTTTTGATTCCTGATTGCAGAACGCATGCGGGGCCAGTAACATGCTTATGTTTGAGTGATGATCAGTTGATACTTAGTGGTTCATCTCTTGGTGGTATCACAATATCTGGACTTTCATCTGGCGAGCGGGTTGCGAAATTAAGTTCAAATGATTCCTCAGGTTACACGTTATGCGTGCTCTACCATTGTTATGAGGGACACCTACATTCCAGTTATAACTTCTGATACATAAAACTAAAATAAATCCGAAAGCTCATCAGGACACTAATTACATTCTTTTTTCCATCCTCCGCCACTCAGTCTAGCATATCTGATTCATTGTGTGCTGGACAACTCATTCCATCGAACATATCGACAGAGATACACTATACTTTGTTCATATAATTTTGAGTACCTCATCAAACTGCCAATGGGATCATGTAGAAGTCATAATTGCACTGTCTCATATTTATTTGTTGTGTCTTATAACTGCTGGGTGTACTCTTACTACTTATGCCCTTTTGTCCTTGTTGAATGAAATATATTCATGTGAAAGCAAATTGATAAGGATTTTGATTGCAGTTGTTTGGAAGTGTTGGCGCTTAACAGTACATCAATATTCTAAATAACATATTTATGGGTTTTGAGCAATCCTCTATCTTGGAGTGATAAGGACATTATGTTCATGACAGAGATCATAAATCTAGTATCAATTTTTCAATGCAGGCATAAAGACTTTGTGTTTCAACCCGGGCTCTCACTTAGTATTTGCTGGATCGGCTGCTGGATATGCAATGTGTTGGGACGTTAGGTATGAAATATGACTTAAAATGCTCTTTTAAGAATTTTAATTTGCCTGGATGTGCACTTTAGCTTGATGATAGTCTATGTTATAACCGTTTCTATTTTTTACCTTGTTACAATTCGAATACAAGGTTTGGATTAATTCAAATGTTCTGTAGATGATATCATTGGTAGATAGAAAGCTTGTATGCAACTAGTCAGTTACTTATCCTTTCTACAGAATGAGAGTTGCTTCAAGATGAAAACTTCAATAAAAGCGAGTATGAAAAAGTGTGTAGACCCCCAATTTTTTGCCCTCCGTCGTTCACCCAAATGTCCATGGTTATGAGACATTAGCCCTCCTCTCTAAAAGACAAGGGATTTTAATCGAAGATAGTGTCTGACGGCCCTTAGTGTGTTTTCATATGGAAGTGTCAATTTAACGACATATTCTGAGGTGATTTCTGTTAAAATGCCCATTTAACTGTACATTAATTATCATTAAAAGAAAACCCACAACTTTTAACCAAAAGAAAAAATCTTTAAACGTAACGAATTAAGGCAAAAAACTCGAGAAGCTAACCAGCCATGGATAGGGCAGCTGACAATGATATCAACAAGGCAAAATCCAAACACGTGAACGAATATCACATATACTTGTTCCAATTCTAGAAAATTTGTTTCTTAGAAGTTATATAATCTCGATTCTTTTGGTGCTGAATTTTGACCGTTTCTCTGAAACTAAGGGCTGAACACTAGTGTTGCTGAAATATTAAGCCTTAAGGTTTTGAGTGGTTTATCAATTCTCATTTCGGGGTCTACTCTTTATACTTTTGTGTGACTTGTATTTCTCTGGACAGATGCTAAAACTTTATATGGTTGTTTTGTCACCAACGGATTTCAGCATAAAAAATCTGTAGTTTTTATATGGTGGTTTTGTTATCGTAAAATTTGTATGCAAAACTTACCCTTTACGTCCTAGTTTTCTCTGTCTTCCGCCCTTTTATTTTACTGTCTCGATAGTAACAGTTGACGTAATACAGTAGTATGTTAATGTTCTTCTGTTATATTGTACGATTCAGGACAATGAAATGTTTATGGGAGACACGAGTGAGTCCAAATAGGGTATACACGTTGCAGCACATGAGAAATGATGCATCGACATTGGCGGTTGGCGGAATAGACGGCGTGCTGCGTCTTCTGAACCAGAACACAGGTGAAGTAATTTCAAGATGCGTCGTGGATGGATATTTATCATCAAGTTCTCGAAACACGATCGGGACTACCCAAAGAATGAGAGGAACAAGGCTTTCGGAAGATACCCCCGTTGAGAGCATTCTTAGTACCAGACGGCCTCCCATTACGTGCTTGACGGTTGGGATGAGGAAGGTTATCACCACGCACTACGATAAGTACATCAGAATCTGGAAATTTGAGTAAGACGACCACTCTTTTTTTTGCTTTGACATTATTCATGATAATGTGTATGTATAAAGTTTATTTATGGTTCGTGTACAAACTACAACAAATTCTTGATCTTGAAATACAAACCTGTTTTCCGTTGAGTCCTCCGAGAAAATAGTAGGTCGATTTTACTAACGGTTCCAGAATTGAACCGATTGACAAGAAACGTAGAATCGAACTGGAACTTGTCAGATGGAAGAATTTGATCTTGGAGGGTCGGTATTCATGTTTCTAGTTTTATTATTTCGCCAGTTTCCCTAATTCTGGCCAATTTCCCACGTGGACTATTATAAATGGTCAATTCCCGCATTACATCTAATTATCTGTCCATAAAACTCTCGTCAGTTACAAAATATTATTTGTTGTTATTTTCTCTTTCTTTAAACCAGACAGTTTTAATGAAAAGTTAGATCAATTACGGAGAAAGATGATGCTACATGGAAATAAAAGAACGAGAAAAATAAAAGTTCAGGAGGGAAATCGTTGAAATGTTTTATTTTGTATTTAATTTATTCGAAAGGTATGGACTTTAAGCCCATGTTTAAATTCATCAAGCCCATAACTCAACCCAAACCCAATCTCATTAAAAATCCCACTACACCCCCGTATTTCTTTTGACCTCACTCCCTTCTCTTCTTCCCCAGTCAAAATTCCCACACTAAAACCCTAACCCTAGAAACTCCAGGAGCTCCAAAAATGGTGTGCATACGCAAGGCCACAATCGACGACCTCCTGGCGATGCAAGCTTGCAACCTTTTCTGCCTCCCTGAGAATTACCAGATGAAGTACTACCTCTATCACATCCTCTCATGGCCGCAGCTCCTCTACGTCGCTGAAGACTACAACGGTCGCATCGTCGGCTACGTCCTGGCCAAGATGGAGGAGGAGAGTAACGAGTGCCACGGCCACATCACCTCCCTCGCCGTTCTCCGCACCCACCGCAAACTCGGGCTCGCCACCAAGCTCATGAGCGCCGCCCAGAACGCCATGGAACAGGTGTTTGCGGCGGAGTACGTGTCGCTTCATGTGAGGAAGAGCAATCGAGCAGCGTTCAATTTGTACACTGAGACTTTGGGATATAAGATTCATGATGTGGAGGCGAAGTACTATGCCGATGGGGAAGATGCGTATGATATGAGGAAGGAGCTCAAGGGGAAGAAGGTGCATGGACATAGTCATGGGCATGTGCATGGGCATCACCACCATCATCACCATCATGAAGGTGGGTGTTGCTCAGGGGAGGCGGCGAAACCAGATAAGGCAGAGGCGAAAAAGGTCGAGAGAGGGAATGCCAAGGCGGTATGAGAGTGAGAGGTAAATTGAGTTATTTGGGGAAAGTGCATTTTCTGTTGTTTTACTTTATCTATGGTTTTTGTGCTCCCAATAATGATTATACATTGATTAGGAATTTATGTTTTTGATTTGAGTTTGTTCCGTTTGATGATCTGTAGTGCTAAATCTTTCTTCATCACTAGTAATGAATCCTATTAGTAGCAGAACTTGCGAATAAGTTTGGAATAGAGTAGGAAAAATGGCTAGATTAGTAGTTGTTTTGCTTGGTTAAGTTGACAAACCCACACGCCCACAATGCACTAAACCCGCATCTCGCCCTTTAGCCTTGCCCGTTTGAGGGTACAGGTACTATTCTGCCCATGCTGGATTAAGAATTACCCTTTTCAGTAGTGTGTATACATGCATACATACAAGACTGGCGCTTTGGTATTGAAAGTGAAGCACATTAGCTTTTTCAAGAGTGAGATTGTATCTGAAGTTAGGCCTAGTTTGGTACTGAGGTGATTCTGAAAAAAACTGGTATCAAAAAAAGCTGGTAGCTGTTTTTGTGTTTGGTAAACATTCAGCTTCAGCTTTTTTTTCACAGTTTTTGGTGAAAAAAAGCCAAAAACAAGAAGCTGCAAAACCCAGCTTTGAAAAACCGGTTTTTTGTTCACATCTGTTTTACATAAAAGTTTACCAAACACTATAATACTGCTTTTTTTTTTCAAAAGCACTTTTACAAAAGAGTTTACCAAACACTCAGCTGCTTTATTTCATAGTTGCTTATTCTCACAGCACAGTAAAAGCAGCTTTTTTTCAAAGCACAGCAATACCAAACCAGCCCTTAATCCTGCTTTCTCTAGTTTTTCAGAAATTGGGGAGGAATAAAGTGTTTTCTATTTTGGGCAATTGTTCTCTGTTACAAGTTTCTCTCGTTCATCCTCCTAATCATTTTGTTTGGTTAATGCTTGGAGTTTTAAGTTGTTTTGAACTTGAGTTTCTCTTGAGAAATGTTTTGAATCGGGGCGGTCTGTATGTTCACTAGTTAATCACCCAAGCATGTTGGCATGATGGTGAATTTTTTTGGAATTTGTGAGGTGTCGAATGACTAAACAGGTCCAGTAAAGTATATATTTAAGAAATGACCAAATATAGAATCCAGTATTGATAGAAAATCACTAAGAATCCAGTAATGCAGTGGTCATAGAGATTGAATAGAAAATAGGATGTTTTCCAACTGACATTCTGAAATAAGCACCCAATTAAAGTTCCTAGTCCGTCGCTTGCATCAGGTAGGGTTCCGATGAAGTTTTCGTGGCCGTGCAGGATCAAGTTTTATTTCTGGAAATAGAGAAGAGTGCAGAAAACTTATTATGTTCTACTCTATCCTTTGTCATCACAAAATTTGCAACCTAAAATAGGAGCTTTTTTCGAACTGGCCTTCCGAAATGAGCAGCAAATAAGAAGTTTCTATTCAATTTCTTGCACCAGTTGGGTTTCTGAAGGAGTTTTTGTAGCCATGGTGAAATGTCAAGTTCCGCCTTGGCACTGATGCAAACTTGGGTTAACTTCACAAGGCTTTCTACACTCCCACTCACACTCCAGTTCAACATGATCGACGTAAACATGTTGAAGTTGATCGACATTTTAATTTATTTGAGTTCTGTAAAGTCTGAGCATCAACTCACGGATGTACTTATTTTTGTCCAATTAAATTTATCATAGCTCACTTGAAAAAGATGGGCATTGATTTGTGCACCACTTAGCTGAGGTTACTTAGGGCTTATTTGGAATCTTAATTGCATCTGATTTTTTGTTTAAATAAATGAAAATGTGGCTAAATTAATTAATATGCATTAGTTTCAAAACAATAAATTGGATCAAAAGTAATACCAAACATCCCCTTATGAATGATTATGTTTGAGTGAGAGATTTCCAAGTCTCAAGAGATTGATGCCAAATTAGTCAAAAATGGATTGCAAAATGTGAGATTGGAGAGATTAGACCATTACAAAAGCATGTAAGGGGGATTTGGATGCGGTGTAAGTATTCAGTTTTCCAACATATTGTTAGTAAAACTTAATGTATAAGTAAATACATCTTAATTGATTGGTAAGGAAAAATCTTGATTAAATCATGATCATAGGATCGTCATCAATCGTCAATATAAAATGTAGTTAACGGTACAATGTCACACGGTTTGAGCTAACTTTAATTTAACAAAAAATCACAAAGCAACTTTATTTTATGAAAATGTCATAAATTTTAATGAAAATGACAAAAACTAAAAAAAAACAAGCTTGAATAAAGGGCCCACAAGCTGGAAGTTAATCCAGCGTGCAAACAATTTTTATTTTTTCAATCCATGCCACGGAGGGAACGCCACTTCCATCAGCCAAACCGTTAAAATTTTGAATTTCAAACTATTTGCTTAATTTGTCAAAATGACACATTTGCAAAAGAAACCGAGAATTGATTCGCAAAACAAGCAGAGAATTTCTCAAAACAAAACCGTAAAATAATTCAACTATAATTTTTTGGTGCACGTTACGTCGCCATTCTACCAACTTAGGTGAACAAAATACCAATGCAGATACCAGAAAGTTTCAAGGCTGATACAAGATTTGTATGTACCATTGCCTTTTGAATAGGCCGCCCTCTTGCATCTTCCCTTGTGTCAATTGTAGAAGTCATGATTTCTGTATATATTGCATACAACAGCAAGTTAAAACATATGAGTAACAATTACCATAAAATGTTTAGTATTTGCTGTAATATGAAATACTTTTTATTCGTTAATTCTCTTTTGATCGGTTCAATTAAATGTCTATAAGGACGGAAATCACTTTCATTGTATAATATATGTTTAGAAACTACAAACGTCATGTCGTATAAGAATTAGGTTGGTTGTGCTGCTTTGTGTTTTCAATCTCTTGTTTGGCCCCTAGTGATACTTTTCAATCTTTTGACGTTGTATCAATTCTGTCATTCCTTTAAAAACGAATAAATCTTTTTAGGGGTGGGTTCAAAAAACCGAAAACCAAAACAAATGGGACCAAACACCGAACCAAAATTGAAAAACCAAAAACAAAAAAAACCGAACCGAAAAAGAAAAAACCGAACCGAACCTTATTGATTCGGTTTCGGTTTTGGGGGTTCGGAAAAACCGAATCCCTTTACACTTTACGAATGTATGCCCATGATGTTTCTTTTGTGAAACTTTGTTGTCAAGTTTGAAATTAGGCCTAGGGCTTTTTCAAGGAGCATATGCTTGGTTCAATTAGAGATGAAATTTCATTGGTTATGGAGGAAAGTTTTGAAAGAATTTATCTATTTGTTTACTTTTTGAATGGGTACGGTGATCATTTTTCTTTGCAATTGAGGTTGTTGATAAAATATAATTGGTTTATATGATCTTGTATATGTACAACTACCTTCTCACTTTCCCACTTTTCCTATTTTATTATTATTATTATTATTATTTGAACAATCAATATTGACACACCCCGACCCAGGAAGTCCACTTGGACCCTGAATCGAGCTGTGCTGGCCGACACCTGGAAGGTGACGAAGCCATAAAATGTGATAGTGTATAAAAAGTGAATGAATTTGATTCCAAAAGTGTATAAATACCAGAGTGCGCTACGAGTGGGAGCGAACCCATTTTCACGCGCGATGTCAGAGCATAAGTAAAGTACAGTAATGTGAGTAAGAATCATACCCTCAAAAATATCCATCAATACTAAGATTCGCCACAGATTCTTGTCGATATAAACTCAGCAGCTAAAACCTGGAGGGCACCAAACAGAAGGTATGAGTAAGCAATAAAACCAAGCTTCCCAAGTTACTACCTCTCTGAAAGTAATGCCCCTAAATGTAAAACCCGTATCGTTTTCCATAAAATAGTACAACATATATACATATATCCAAACCATACTAGGAAATGACCAAAACCACGGTTTGCCGTCAAATCCACCATACATTAATAAGTAGGCCAAATGAACTAAATCAAATACAAAGGGATATATCAGTCAGAGTCAGCTAAAATGACATGTACAACTTATCTGTATCTCATCAATCATGACTAGCATATAAGTCGGAATCACCTATAGTGACCTGTACGACTTATCCATATCTCATCAATCCTGGCTAGCATGTAAGTCGGAGTCACCTATAGTGACCTATACGACTTATCCATATCTCGTCAATCCTGGCTAGCATCTAAGTCGGAGTCACCTATAGTGACCTATACGACTTATCCATATCTCATCAATCCTGGTTAGCATGTAAGTCGGAGTCACCTATAGTGACCTATACGACTTATCCATATCTCATCAATCCTGGCTAGCCAATAGCTCAATAAGTATACCTGCACACGAGTCGGAACCACCTAAAGTGGTCTGTACGACAGGACTGGGTGTAAATAAATACGCTCAAGTGCTACGATCACGTGAAGACTGGGCGAATAATCGCGGGTCACCTACGAGTCGGAACCACCTAAGGTGGTCTGTACGACAGGACTGTGCACCTACCTTGGATCCAAGGTGAGCATAAGGTGCGGGAGGTGAACATCACGTGAAGGACTGTGCCCTGGCCACGGGCGGGAGCACTAACACCGAGGTGCAGGTTTATGAGCTCTCAATGCATCTCAATATAACATGTGCAACTCATGACAACCAGTACGACCGTATCGAAGTTGCCTAACTCATAACTGTAGTCATGCTATAACGCAATCGATTCAACTAGTACCATAAACTCACCTGAACTTACCTGGGTGTCCTGAGTTCACATTTGCACTTGAAAGCATTCCCAATAATTATATGCAAGTAATATACATTTAGATATATCATGATGCAATCTACTACAAAACCATGCCGTAGCATTTTCAATTATAAACAATATAGGATGAAGTGTACAATCAATAACGCCCTACTCCCAAACTACTTGTTTTCAAGGATAATTATTCATGACGACCCAATCAAATCTAATTTAACTAACTAATTCACAACAACTAAAACTTGTCTTTACCAATTTCCTTCGCATTACTCAATTTCCCAAGCAAGGCTTTTGTCTCAAATATTTTATGGCTGCATCTAACGTCTCGTTAGACTGCCTACGTACCCTAAATAGGGATCAAGCCATTCGTAGTTCATATAGGTACTTTAAGCATTCACAATAATTATATAAAGGTAATATACCTAATCAATTTAAAAGTGTCGATTGAACTCTCAATAATATGCACAATAAAAAGGAAAAGATCCACTCACCTGGAGTTCACGCTATGATTCTCTAGCGCACGCATCGAGGCGTCCTGAATGATTGGTCCCTGTGACCAATTATCAAATCACATCTCAGAACTCTTATCCGTAGAATATGTAATTCACATAAAACACAACCTCAACGACATTCTAAAATAGCTTGAGACCCATTGACCCGGAAGATCCGCACATCAGATTTCCAATCCGCAACTTCCAACGATCCACAATATGTTTCTAGAATAACATATTAAAATTTCATTACGATCCAACGGACAGATCTCCGCCAATTGCCTAAAACAAGTGGCCGTGAACATTTATTTTACTAACTTACAAATCCAATTCAGGAAGATCCGTAAGTCGGATTCCCGATCCGTAAATTCCTATGATCTTTAAATATTACGTATTATAATGTATCCAATTTTGGTGACGATCCAACGGTCGGATCATCGATTCACATTTTATCAAGTAACGTATTGTAACGAATTTAGGTTCCAACGATCAACCTACGTCATTCAAATGACAAAACTGAATTCAAGACATTTGACATAGCCTAAAAATAGCATTGGCGGCCCACTGGCCACGCGCCGCCGCACGCGCCGCCGCGGGTGGCGGTCGGCCGCCCCGACTCGCCGGAAAATCCAACTAATTCCAAAAATTATCAAACTTCACAGAAATGAAGATCTCAGTGAGTGGAGCAACTTTCATACCTGCCACGAAGTCCAAAAGTGGACGGAAGATGGTCAATTTTGCCCACGAAGCCGGCGGGTGCCTAAAACTTCCCGACGTCGATTCGTCGTCTACGGTGGTCCAACGGGGTCAAGGTTGGTTGGGTTTTGCTCCTGGGATGATGGGCTACAAAGCCCAAGTGGTGGCATCGGCCATCGCTTTGCCGATTTGCCGGAAAATGGAGAAGAGTGGCCGGAGCACCATTGATTTTCGTCAACTTTCGTGGCCTCAAACCTCTACATCCCGTGGTCAATCAAGGTGGTTCTTGGGTGGGTTTTGTAGAGGGGAATGAGAGCTTCAAAATGGTGGTGGTGGCATCGAAAAACTCCACCGGAGTTGGCCGGAATCGGCCTTGGAATATGGTCTCGCGGTGGTGCAGGTATGGGTGCACGGGAAGCCTTTTTCCCTTTTTTTTTTTTTTTTTTTTTTTTTTTTTTTTTCTTTTCCTTTCTTTTCTTCTTTCTTTCTGATTGGGCTTCCATTAATTTAAATAAACACTCACCTTGAATAACCAATTTCGAACGTCCGTAACTATACCGTTATAATCCGGACTCGCAAACGGCTTTCGCCTATATGTTCGTACCAATGAGTACTACGAGGATATGCTAAAAGAATAAGTCCCACATCTTTCAAGTCGATGGTCAACGGAAGTCAAAGTCCTTGCCTGTAGGGCAATTTCGTAAATTCACGCTTTTAAAATAAAATAAAAACGTAAAATTTGGAACGGGTTGTCACAAATATTATCATTTTTTTTAATAATCGATATTATATACACTAAGACCAACTCCAATGGTGGGCTAAAAGCTAAATTACCTCCCAAAATTTCCCCCCAAACCCACTCCAACCCAAGAGGAAAATTTGGGCTAAATGCTAAATGCTAAACCAATGCCAAATTCCCCCCAAAATTTAGCCCAGAAATCGGAGTGGACTCCACCCAATATTTATCGGAATTTAATTTTTTTTTAGATTAAAATGTTCATAAAATTAATTTACGATAGTCTACATATTTATTATTTTTTTTAAATTTAATTTAACAAAACCAATAGCCTAAGTTCATTCTTTAATAATTCTGGGCTAAAATTTTATGGTAGAACGGTTGGAGCAGAAAAACTATTTCTGGGCAAAAAGCTAAATTTTTCAGGCTAAAATATTTAATTTTTAGTTCAACCATTGGAGATGGTCTAAGGGGAATTAGTGGAATTAGTCTCACAATGAACTAGTAATAATGTGGTTCAACTTCGCCTTTGGCGAGAATCAAACCTAACACTTATCACTTACAAGTAAAGAGAAATATCACTAAATCGTAGTACCAAGTGACCTCATTTTCTTATTATTAATCTACCAATGCAAATTTTTTTTTTTTAAATTTCATATTAAAAAATATCAAATTGTATAAAATAAATAAAAAAAAAATAAAGCTGAACCGAACAAAACCAAATAAAAAAAACCAAACCCAAAAATCTTTAAGAAAATTAAACCGAACTGAACGGACCGAAGTTTTGGTTCAGTTTCGATTTTGGCAAAATGCCGAAACCGAACCACCCTAAATCTTTCGGGGATGCTTTCTCCGCTTCGACTACGCATCGCCTTCTGCTTCTTCACCGCTTCTTTCCCCACCCCTCCACGCCTAATCTGCTAAACGACGACCTTCTCGACGACATCCTCTTGCACCTACCCGCCTTATCATTCGCATCAGCGGCGTGCGTTAGCAAATCCTGGAACCCAATCTGCAGCCGAATCCTTGCTCGCCCGAAGCTCGCCTCTGCCCTCTCTCTCCACCCCTCTCCTAAGGTTTGGTTTAAAGTCTAGACCCCTGTTTGGTTTCCGAGAAAATTACAAGCTCAAATTTTCTCACACATTCTCAATTTTTGTGTTGGAATTGATAGGTTGCGGTGAAGGAGGTTATCGAGAAGGTTCTGACTGGGCCGATACGGCCTCATTTCGTTGTGGCTAATATTGGAAAAGGGTTTGGATTGTATGACATTTCCAAGTTTGTATGTGTTCTTGCTCATAAAAACCCCTTCATCTTAATTAGTATATCTGAGCACGGTGAGATTTTTGTATAATATTTTTTTTTAAGGGTTTGTGGGTTTTAGACATTTTTCTGTGAAAGCATTAATTTTTGTATGATTTTTTATTGTGGGTTTCGATAATTTGGTTATTAATTTGGGTATTTGAGCTGCTGGATGCTCGGAGCGGGAACCTTTTCTGCCCATTCCTCTAAGGCAGTCCGCCCTAGCCATATTCCAGTCGGGATCTTTTTCTGATGGAGTTTGTGATGTTTTGCGAATAGGGTTGAAATCCATTGGCTTGAACACAATGGCATCATCAACAGTATCCAGTAATTCCCGGGGATCAAAGTCTAATAGCAATAGGTGCACTAATTATCAAACCCTAATTTTAACTGTTAGGATCATTACGGATTTGGGTATTTTTATAAAATAAAAAAATAAAAAAAATTGCGTTGCTTCTACGTGCTGTATATTGGCTGATGTTCGGAGTATTTTTTGTATTGTTGACCACGTCGGCTTGGTTTTGTTTGCTACGATTGGTGAGGCTTATGTGACTGTTGATGGGTTTGGTTAACAGGGTTTTCATTCCTTTTCAGATTTGTTTCAACACACACTACTTGAAATTTGCAGGATGCTATGGTGATAGTTTCTATGATCTAATCAAATGAACTATTTAATGTCAGTAGTTTGAGGGCTCCGACTGCAACACACAGCAGCAGCGATGGGGGAGGAGAAGTGGCACCAGGTGATGTAGAACCTATTCGGTGATCAATCTGAAGAGGAAGAGGAAGAGGTGGATTCCGAGCATGAGTCCAATCCGCAGCCCAGTTTTGTATGATCCTCTAATTTCAAGTTTCCTTTCTATTCTGATTCCAAAAGCATGTTTGGGAATGAGTAGGCTTTCAATTTGTTCTGTAATCTTAGCCGAAGGAAGATATAGGTTGTGCTTTTGTTAATGGCGGTGGATGATTTGGATGAAAGGATGTATCTTGGGGATTTTTTTTTGCTTGCAGTTGTTTAGGCCTGGACTGAAGAAGTTTTGTGGAATGAGATTCTTATGAGTAGTCAATTTTAGTGGGATTGTTGTTTCAATCTGGATAATGAATGATGTCGTTTTCCTATTCGGTCTGTCCTTTGATGGTGTAGCAGATCTGGAATTTTGTGAAATGCTCTTTCTGATTAGAAATATAGAATTGGTTTTAAATTATTTTCTTAACTGTTTGGTTCTGATGTGCTTTACCGATAAATCAAGGGTTTGCAAGATATTTTTTTGTTGTTCTCTTTAAATGGTGGGTGTTATCATTTTCTCTCTTTTTTCATATCTGTCTTGCCATTGACTGGGGATGTGGGTGATACTGCTACCCTGTACGCCGCAGTACAGGGCTGTAACAAGATTATCTATTGTGCTACTGCACTTTCTACTATCAGCGGAGACCTCTACAGGGTTGATCAAAGAGGGGTCTTCAATCTTACTAAAGCATTTCAGGTGTGATCCTTATTGCCATAGCCTTGAAATACTCTTTTTTGACATTTAGTAATCTGTTTAGGTTTTGATGTCGTTTAAGTTCATGGGTTGGTTCAATGTTGGATTTAAATTTTACCGTTCGAGAGTTGCTTATGTGAAGCTTTTGACTGTTTGCATTGCAGGACTACAACAACAAAATGGCGCAATTACGAGCTGGAAAGAGTAGCAAGAGCAAACTTACAATTGTAAAGTTCAAGACTGCGGAGTCAGTGGATGGATGGGAAGTTTGTCATGGGACTTACTTTCAGGATGTGGTTGCTTCTATGTATGATGGAGGAACGGATGCCAAGTTCAAATGCATTTTCACCGGAGATGCTATTTCCTCCTGTAAGGGAAAGACTAAAGCGGGGTTTTGAGGTTCTAAATGGAAACCAACTATAATTCCTTTTACTCTATTTCTTGCTGCATTGTAGGATATGTTTTCACCAGGGGAGGGTATGTTGAACTGTCAGAAAAGTTTTCACCAGAGGAAGGTATGTTGCACAGCTTCCCAAAATGAAATTCATGGTATTTTTCTTATTATTAATTACAAGATTTGGGTAAATAAAATTCATGGTATCCTTCTTATTATTAATTACTTAGAATTTGAACACAAAATGAATTCATTTGATAGAAAATCATTGGCAACAGAAATTACCTGATGAATTTGCCGTGCAGCTGCAACATTCTATCAACATTTCGTGAATTTGAGAAGCAGCTGTGCAAGTTCAGTTGCGTTCTGTTTACTTAATTTTCTGTGTTTTTTCTTTTGCTGTTTGGATTTAGGAGCTAAAACATTTTTCTTTTGCAATATTTTTAGGTGGATGAGTGGAAAGCTGAGATGAGTGGAAAGAAGCTAATGCACTCATGGAACAACTTAAGCTCAACCCTCAGCTTCAGACGTTTCAAGCGTGGCTTTGGGATTCTGCAACTGTGAGTATACACTCTTTCCCGGGTTTAAGGACTATCAAGGTGCTTAGGGTTTGAGTTCGGTGTTTGAATTAAATAACTTTGGGTTAAACCATTCTCTAATATCAGTAGGTTTGTTTTAGGTATCTTATGGTTTTAGAATTGCCTGTGTACAAAGGATTATTATGGCAACGAGACCATGTCGCTCTGGGAAGCTCTTTTGATGGTCGCTGTTGTTGGAGTTATATTAAAAAGAAATATTTAAAGAGGGCTGGAACCCAGTCAAAGCTGGGGGGCTAGGCCCTCACGCCCATATTATATTACTGAAGAAAAAACATTACAACAGGGGGGACATAGTACCTAAACCCCGATGATCAAAAAAAAAAAAAAAAAAAAAAAAAAAAAAAACTTAAACAACCACTCCAAGCGGTCAACGTGGCCATCACATATTGAATCCAAAAGGTTGACGCCTCATTCGCTGCATATAAGACTATAATTGAAAAGAAGGGAATTAGAGAGAGATTTAAAAAAAAATTGAAGTTAAAAAGTATGGACGACGGAAACTTTGATCCACATGGTAATGACATTTGAAAAGAAAAAGTAAAATGCTGGTGATGATGAATGAAGAATAAAATTAAGAAATGAGATTGGCATTTGAATATTTCGTAGTTTGTATTGAATTAGGCTAGTGTGAATTGAAACATGTTAGAAAACGCACCTTAATAAATGTCAATGTGTGGGATGTGAGCAATCTTAGGCCAGTCCTCTCCACATTTGGATACAGAGGCATGGAAGTTAGATTAGGACACCCATCAATAGACAATATAGAAAGACGAGGAAAAGAAGGCAACAACAGATTTTCCGTTGATGAAGAAGAAGAAGCACTGTTATGAGTATGCGCCCTCCACCATCCCTTCAGAACAGGGCAATCTTCGATGCTGAGGTACTCCAGGGAGGGAAAGAATGAGATCCTCATCATCTCATCACTCATACTATTACTGCTCTCATTCTCTGATATGTACTCCAACTTCTCCAACGCAGTCAATGTAAGAGCCCCTTAAGGGAAGGCAAATGATCCCTTCTGGCAGTGATGACAAATTAGAGCAATTACTAATTTGAAGATGCTGCAGTGACGTGAGATTGTTTATTTCTTCTGGCAGTGATGCCAAATCCTCAATTCCCTCTAGTTTGAGATATGTTAATTTGGAGAGATGAGGCGAAGAAGAAGAGGCAGAAACATCAACACCAACATCATGTGTAATATCAGATGCTCCTCTAACAAACAAGGAATCAACCACCTTCCAGCTGCTCCACCCAAGTTCTATTATCTCCACATTTGGATACAGTGGCATGGAACTTAGATTAGGACAATTATAGATCTGCAATGTAGAAAGACGAGTAAAAGAAGGCAACGACAGATTTTCTGTTGATGAAGAAGAAGAAGCACTGTTATGAGTGTGGGCCCTCCACCATCCCTTCAGAACAGGGCAATCTGCTATATAAAGGTGCTCCAGGGAGGGAAAGGATGAGATCCTCATCATCTCATCACTCATACTATTACTGCTCTCATTCTCTGATATGTACTCCAACTTCTCTAACGCAGTCAAATTAAGAGACCTTAAGGGAAGGCAAATGATCCCTTCTGGCAGTGATGACAAATTAGAGCAATTAGTAATTCCAAGCCCCTGAAGTGATGTGAGATTGCTTATTTCTTCTGGAAGTGATGCCAAATCCTCAATTTCATCGAGTGACAGATGTGTTAATTTGGAGAGATGAGGGGAAGAAGAAGAGGCAGAAACATCAACACCAACATCATGTGTAATATCAGATGCTCCTCTAACAAACAAGGAATCAACAAGCTTCCAGCTGCTCCTTCTGAGATGTATGCTCTCCACATTTGGATACAGAGCCATGGAAGTTAGATTAGGACACTCATCAATAGACAATGTAGAAAGACGAGGAAAAGAAGGCAACGACAGATGTTCCGTTGATGAAGAAGAATCGTCACTGTTATGAGTGTGGGCCCTCCACCATCCCTTCAGAACAGGGCAACATTCTATGGAGAGCTCTTCCAGGGAGGGAAAGAATGAGATCCTCATCATCTCATCACTCATACTTTTACTGCTCTCATTCTCTGATATGTACTCCAACTTGTCGAACGCAACCAATGTAAGAGACTTAAGGGAAGGCAAATGATCCAAGGGCGGAAGACGTTGGCATCTCTCACACCAATACAATGCGAGATTAACAATATTTGTGAGAGAAGAAAACCAACTCGCAAACCTCACACCTCTATAGCCATACACGGACAACTGCTTTAGATTAGAATGGGGTTGCAATACTTCCATTGACTTTATAATATCCTCCTCATCAACTCCCCTTACATCTTCTTCATATTTCCACCTTAAAGTCAGAGAATGGAGATGCTGTTTGTCCTTGAGAGGTGTACCAACATTTGATTCTGACACCACATGCCTCAACTTATCAATTTCTAAATGTCCCCTTAATTCGTTAAGGGTCCCCAGCTCAGCAAGACCAGCACTACCGCCCCTCCCCAAACAATTGCTTTCGCTCAAAACAAATCTATTCAATGTACGAACACCATTCAATTCACCAATTCCACGTGGCATTCCACTCAATCGCCAGCAGTCTTCCAATATGAGATGCCTTAAGTTGATCATTTTTTTAATGTCTCTAGGCAATTCCACAAGCTCCCGACAATGAGAGAGATCTAGTGTTTCCAAATTCCAAAGTCCAACTATCCAATCTGGAAGTCTCTCCATGGGATTCCAACTAAGATCAAGATATCTCAAATGTTTCATTTTTTTAAGACATTTAGGTACTCTTTTAATTCTCATTTCATTGAGACTCAACATACGCAATAACTTAAAATTTGAAACAATTGTAGCATAAAATGCATTACGTGAGGAACTTTGGTGGTCACTCCAACTTTGTTGCCAAAGAAAAAGAAAAGTTCGTATCTTTTTTGCTTTTAGCAAGGATGTTGGCACTTCCCATTTCGACAAATCACTATCAAAATTGAAAGATACATGACGAAGCTTTTCATGAAAATTCTTTTGGTTCAAATCAACTACGACACTTCCGACCCCCGACACTAAGATTGCAAGTTCATTCATGAGATCGTGCATTTTACAACTTACTATCTTACCAAACTCATTTATTTTTTCTTCTTGAAAAAATGATCTCTGCAACAACTCCCTATAATATTCATAGGCAACATCCTCCAAACACTCATTTTCATCGGATGACTCAATGAACCCTTGCGCCACCCAAAATCTAATCAATCTCTGTACAGAGATCTCATAATCAGGTGGGAACAAACTACAATAAGCAAAACAATGCTTCAAATGTGATGGGAGCACATCATAACTCAATTTAAGTGTTGGTAAAATATCATTTTCTTCTTGATTTATTTTTGAAAGTTTCTTTTCTTTGAAATTCAACCAATATGTTTCGTCATCTTTGGCAAACGACATCCCACCTATCGTCTTTATAGCGAGTGGAACTCCCTGACATTTTCTAGTAACTTCCTTCCCAATTGCCTTAATTGTTGAATTCTCTGGCTCCTTTCCATCTTGATAAGCCATTGTCTTAAATAAAGACCAACTTTGCTCCTCATTCAAACCCTTTAAGGTGTATGGTTTAGCGAAGTCTGGTATCGTCGCAACTTTTTTACTACGAGTGGTTATTAGTATTCTGCTACCTTCTCCACCACCCATTAACAAGTTCTCCAAGTCAAGCCACTTCTTTTTATCCTCATTCCACACGTCATCCAACACAAGTAGGTACTTCTTCCCATCTACTTTTTTCCTAAGATCATTTTGCAACTGCTCTATCCCATTATGCTCGGATTGAAGGATTTTCTTAACAACTATATCCAACTCAAATACATTAGAGACACATGTCCATATTTTCAACTCAAAATGCTTTTGAATCATCTCCTCGTTGAATATGAGTTTGGCAAGTGCAGTTTTGCCCAATCCTCCAATTCCAACTATGGAAATGGTTGACACATTCTTAGTTGAGATGGAATCCAACAAAAGTTGGATAATTGCCGTTTTATCTTTTTCTCTCCCTATAATATTTTCCTTACGGACAAATGAGTGATTGACCCTCTCTCTGTTTACAAATGGTGTATCTTCATGATTTACTTCGAAGTGAAAGGTTTTATGATTTTCAACCGCACTGAGCTTTTTGTTAATATTTTTTATCTTATGACCCATCTTCAGCCCAAAAACAAGTTGATTTGAGCTAGAAAAAAAAAGGCCCACCTGTAAGAATTTGAATAGACATAATCATTAATATGAAAGAACTGTATTAATTAAGTTAATAGAGTTTTGTAACGTTAAGTTATATGAAACATTCCAAATAATAATAACGTAGAGAACTTATTGCAGTTAATTAAGTTATTGAGAGACTTATTGTATTCCTAATAGGTGGATATCTATAGGCTAATGTGACTATGAAAAGGTTCTATGAGATGCAACCTCACCAAACCTCTTGTTAATATCTTTTATCTTATGTCCCATCTTTTACCACAAAAACAAGTTGATTTGAGCTATAGACAGAAGAGGCGTACCTTTTTTAACAGCTTTGTATTTTCAGGCACCATTGTTCTCCGTTGATTTTTAGTATTAAACTCATCCAACACGTCATCGGCTTCATAAACTGCGTCTTCTACGCTTTGGAGCCATAGTTTGACTTCATCGTTGGCTTGCTTTTGCTCAGCGTCAAGAAGAATAGCTTGGAATCTGGCCACTGTCTCTTTGAGCTTCTGGAACTCGTCTTGGACACCCCAAATCAATCCAATCTCTCGGAAAGCTAGGGAGCCTAGCCTCTCAATGATCCCTCCTGCAACGTTGAAGAGAACTCCTTCCGCCATTTTTTAGATTCAGGACAAGAAAAAACACAAGTGAAATGAAGTAGAAACTTGTAAGTGAGAAAATGGTTTTGCGTAGCGAAAGATAGCTCCTTTATATGCAGCCACTCGCATATAATTCCATGCTTAAAATGAAAACGAGACCGGTCAATATGTTACAGCTGGTCTTCATAATTGTCTTCTACTTTAGTCTAGTGGCTTAATAAAGTATTGAATGATTACAATCAGACAAATTAGGAAACACAATCAATCATTCTACTTTAGTAAAGTATTAGCTAGTGCTCTTCATCAGTAAGAAGAAGCAGAATTCTCTTACCTCCTCTTCTTATCCCTTTTTAATCTCTTATTTTACATTCTTTTATTTTGTCTTTTTTTCTTATTCTAAAAAATTAATATAAAATGTTGATGTGGTTTAACC